AACAGTGACAGGGAAGGCAACTTTCATGTTGTGTTTTTGTGCTCTGCACTCTTGCCTACGGGCCCCTTACTGCCGAGCAGCAAGATGTGTATGCTGAGCGGTGATTGCCAGCCTCAATGTAAAGAAACATTATCAACTCCTTTGAAAGAAGAAAAATAGGCAGAAAATGCGTAGCTGACCTGACTTGAGTGCATGGTGGTGGTGATGGCAGTGTGGTTTGTATTGATTCATCCAGGACACATATTCTAGAAAGAAAAGATGCAAAATTACTCTTTCATATATAACTTTTAATATTAAAAAGCTAACTGAAAGCATTCCTTGCTTTTAACTCGTCTCAATGTGTTAAACCTTTAACTGCACTTTTTGTTCAATTTAATAGAATCTCGTAGGCAATTAGATTGGAAAAGACCCTTAGGGTCAGGATTTCAACCAAAAATGATAGAGGTGTGGAGATTTCAATGCTGTTAAGTCCCTATATATTTTTTTTGAAAAATCGGTGAGTGTGAGGAGGAGGAAAACCTAAAAGAATGTCTTCACTGAGAGGAGGCCACAGTGGCTGAAATGTGAATTCAACTCTTACCTTCTGCTTTTCTTGGCCATATGCCTTTTAATGGGATGTTGGAACCAGCCAATGTGTAAGTTCATTAATGGTTGTTTAGTGGACTTAGAAGCAGCTTGAGTACCAAAATATTTCAACGAGCAGTCGGGAAGTGTTCAGGGGATCTGAGAGTGGAGTATGGGGAAATTGTGACATGTACAAAGAGAGCACTTGCAGTTACTGCAGTGAAAGGTGTTGGAATGGAGTTACAGATCTGTAGGAAGGTAAATTGCTGTCTCTTTAGTCTCTTCACTGAAGCACTGCAGCATCTGCATCTATGTCACAGCAGTTTTAATAATAACTACAGTAGAAATTGTCTCAGAAAGGAGCTTATTTGAACTCATATTAATTGCACCGTTTTCTCATACACGTGTTTCCTCCTTCGGTTTGCTGCTTCTGTTATTTCTCATTTAACTACGGTGTATTGCCATAGGCTGAATGCTTGCTGTAAATCCAATATTGGATCCAGGATTTTTTGGTTTCCATGGCAAAAAAAAACCTTTATAAAATATTGCAAAATAGGCCAATTCAGGTTCAGCAAGAGCTTATCTCATATTCCTTAACTTAAGCATTCATCAACAGGTATATTTTATGATGTACTCTGATTCTTCAGCAGCAGAGACTTGATTTTCAAGGATCTGGAAAGATCGTAAAGCTCTACCACTGTTAAGTAGTTATGCATTTTACTTGCAAGTGTTTTGATATCATTATACAATGGATTTACATGGGGGAGTAAAATGGAGACGCAGCTGACAGTGGAAAATATAAGAGATGACACAAGCAATGGTTACAGAAGTGTGAAAGACTGGCTTCATACAGGCCTTAAAAGTACCTGTGTGAAGAGGCAAATCCAAAGGTTTTCTTTCAGTTAATACATAAAGAATGCTGATATTGTATCCTTGTTATAAAACTGAGTGATAAAAAAATAAGAAAATGACAGCGCTGTAATGAATGTTTCTTGTGTTTTTGTGTTTGTTCTGCTGTGTGGTTATTAGTTCCTGTATATTCATTCAAAATCTTGAATCAGGATAAAGATACAGTAAACCAGTGCATTTTAACAGTAAAAACAATTGTTAATGTTAAATATTGCTTCTTTATAATTTTACTTGTTCAAAGTATATGTTGGAAACAAGTTAATATATGGACTATCAGTAAGTACCAGGGAGATAAAGGCTGTGTAGCTGCTCTTTTCTCTAGCCCTGTGTTCCATTTTTCCAGCTAAGCAACAGCAGTACAGCTTGCATTTTAGAAAGCAATATTATTTATCAAAATATTTTCAAACTAATCGAGGGGGCAGGGGAAGAAATATTGGTGTAATGCTAAAATCTGGATCTCGCTCCACTCATAGCACTGTATTAGACCATCCACTCTTTGAAAACAATCAAAAAACCACCCACAAAAAAGTCACTTCCCAAAACTACCTATTAGAATGCCTTTGAATATTCAGCAGTTCAAAAGCATTTTTAAATAACACATTTCCCTCTGTGTCATCTAAAGAACTAACCTAATGTGTTTTCTTTCTGTTGTGGATATGGTTTGTGCCAATATTTCAAGCTGTTTCCCCCACGTCAAATCTGTTGCCTGAAACTCAAACCCTGTGTATTGTTTCACAAAGCTGTGGGTGCATGTCAAGTTTGGTTAACTGTGCTCCGTCAGACTTTAGGTTAAAAAGCCTTTTGGTCAAAAGGAAACTTTTCAAGAGATTGTTGTAATGTGGTTTGCCTCTAGATGTACAATAAAATATATACAGACGATTTAGGATGAGAATGCTTGCATGCCTCCTTCACTAAGAATTTTCCTTACAGATGTTCTACAACTTTTTGTTATAGGCACTCCCTGATAATGCTTCATTTGTTAACTGAATTCCGTAGAGCAATATAGACACTTTCAAATCTGCACCTTAAATATGGATTTAAAATTTCACTGGCGGAGCTGTTCAGCGTATAGATAAGTTCCGCTTCACTGTTCTCCTCTGACATCAGTGTATCAGACTTGCAGAAGAATACAGAGTGACAATATGTTTAGGTTTAAACAATTACAGATAATTAGAGTGGTAAATGTCATGATGTACAAGTGTTAGTGAAATATGTTTTTAATTATTACTTTGCTTTGTGTCGTATTTCATCCCTTGAAGCCAACAATACCCTCAAGATGCTTTAGCCCATTTATGGAACTTTTCCACTCCCTACTAATTATCTGTAATTAATACCTTGCCAACAAGTTGGAATTGCTTAGTCTTGTCCTAGTATCATTTATTACCCATATATTTTAAAATGTAACTCAATTTTAATTCAAAGTAAATTCTTTAACAGGTAAGTTTTTCTGAAATTTTCTCTTCCATTGTGAGACAAAACAAAAAAATACATTGTGTTTTGTAATCTGTGTGTTACTCACATTAGTAGAAAATAGTTTGGGTTCTACCAGAAAATAATCCTTAAAAACAAAACAGAAAAAGGAAATGTTTTCATAATAAATATTTGGAATTGAAAGTTAGTAGGCCATTTCTGGTTTCATTGGCAATTTATCCCTGGACCTCTTTACTCCTGAGATCACTCTATTATACATATTTTGGAGCTGGAGTTCCCTGTTTCTTATTTTCTGTTGACCTATTTTGTATCTTGATTATTTAAAGAATACAAATAATTTCTGTTTAATAATACTCCAGAGTACTGGAGTATTATTCTGATATACTCTGATTTAACTATTCTTTAAGAAGTCTTTTTTATTAAGCAACTCTTCATCTTCTTGTGTCTTTTTTGTTCTGTTACTCAAAGTGCTTAAAAACTTCTGTAGAGAAGTATAACATTTAAATTAGTTTTCTAACTGGGCTGTGTTTGATTGCAGTCATGACAAACTGACACAAAATAGTAATTTAAATAATATGTGATAGCTATGATTTTTCATGTCTTAGTAATACAATTCAGATGATAATGCTGATGAATTCCTTGAATTTCACTGATGCATTATAAAACAAGAACAAAAAAAGTCATATTTTTTATTAAATTTCTTGAGGAAATTTATTAAAAACCCCCAAGTTTTACTGCAGCACTCTGATTTGGATCTTCTAACCCACTTAGATTTTTGCATTTCTGACGATTTTGAATTCTTGAGTCCTGGAGGAGACTGAATTAGTCAGCACAGTGTCTGGACTGTTACATTTTGTTTGAAATACCAATGTGTAGATACGTGGTTAAATTTGACACAGTGGAAGTGTTATTTCAGCTTATGTAAAGGAAAGCTTTTGCATTGCTGAGCTAATTGTCGTTCTTTGAGTTATCTGCATCCTGATAACAGCCTGCTTGTGTTTCACTCAAGCTTTTGCCAAAGACTGTTTAAGGAAACTGAACAGATTTGCGATAAGAGGGAGGATTTACCAGAGCAGATTATTTGTAAGAAGATGTGATTGCCGTGTTCTTATTTACTTGTCCTTGACTGTCCACTGCCAACCTCTGCTAGAGGTGCTGGGTACTGGGCTAGCCAGCCTATGGTCTTATCGAATACAAAGACCCTGTTTTAAATTATTCTTCCTTGTTACATATAATTCATGTTTCTGGAGAAACTGGTATTCTAGCAATATGAAAACAGACTAGAACTTTCTTGTCTTAATCTTGAGGTAGTCCTGCCTGATAAGTTCCCAGTTCCTGTTTTGGCTTGAGAGGATCTGCTCCCTACTTGATTTTCCATTAATAGGGTTCTTATAATCACCAACTATAAGAAGCCAAACTGCTTGAGAAGGGTGTGTTAAGAGAATGCCTTTTCTAGATGACTGAAAAATAGAACAACTTTTTTGGGTTATTTGATGATTATTTTTTTAAATTATATATATATTTTTAATCTGGAAGGCTCATGGAGCCCCAAGTAACTACTATTTTGTGTGCAGATAACTGGAGAAAAATATGGAGGGAAACAGATACGGAATACAGAGGTTCTAAGTTGCTACTGTCCTCTTTGATGCTGCAAAAACCAAAACCGACAAGGCATTTGAAGAATCATGCTTCTAAAATTCCTTAACTTGTTCCCATGCTTTGAAAGTTTGTCTTTAGAACGTTGATGACTTCTGTTGAGGTTTTAACTTCATTACAAGTATAGCTTCTGATTGATTTAGTTAACAGCAGAAAGGTTTACGCAAAATATTTACGGCACTTAATTAAATTAATTTGTGATTATAAAGTGATTATTTCCTTCTGTAATGCTTTGGTGGATAGCTAGAATTTGGTATAAGCTTCTTGGAAGGGTTTTATTTCTGATCTATCCGGAGTCTACCTACGTAGTACAGTAAGTATTATTCTGGATGGGATTCTTGAGGTATAAAGTTTAATTAATGAAAGAAAATCTGTTATTGCTTAAAAGTAGGACTTCTTTGACACTAAATAAGAGTATCTATTCTTTTTTATTACTACAGTGTACAGACTATGACCTGGATTATGGAACGGAATGTTTGCATCTGGCTCTGAAATACTGTAAAACAAATGCCAAACTTGTTGAAGGAACAGCTGATCTCTGGAAGGTAAAGGCAATAATAATATCTATTTTTAATATAAATATCTAAATTAAGAAAATCAGCATATTGCCATAAAAATTCAGATATGTTTTCAATTGGAATAGTTAGGCTTTTCACTTTGAAATGTCAGAATTGTTTTTGGATTATCATGAGCTTTTTTAGAGCTCATTGTAGACAGACTTGGGCAGATGTTATCTGCCATAATCAGCGAAGATGGTATTTATCTGCAAGTAGGAAAACCAGCTAGGTACTGGAGTAACCTGAGAATCTGTAAAACTGGAAATCCATAATCTCTAAAACTAAGAACATTCTTTGACGAGACAAGTTTTGTCCTGCGGTTTCTATCTCTTTTCTCTGTTTCCCTTCACTTTTCCTGTGAAGACATCCCTTTTCCTCTGATGTCAAATACCCAGCTAACAGAAGTTTGATTTTTAGGGCAGTTCATTAAATTTAGTAAGATTATAATGTTTAAGACCGCTTTAAAAATATTTTAAAATTTTTTAGACATGATTCACTTTGTGTGGTAATGTGTAGACTCCTGGTGGCTGACAAAGCAGGTATGTATACAGGTGCCAAAGGATATGTCCCTGCTGCATAAAAGTATCCCATTGTTTTGGATGGGGCATTATTCTTTCTCAGTAGCTGTTGTCATGTGGTTTAAGTGTTTCCTGCTTTTAAATTTTATTCATTACCACACTGAAAGATTTGGAAGCAGCTCAAATCACTTCATCTGTCTCTGACAGTAAATTTCCACCAGTGGGACATGATTTCTAATAATATGACAGTAAATCTTATCCAGAAAGGTAATTTCCTGAATCTGCAGTGCAAATTTCCTGTGCAATTTAGCAGCAACATTTACTTCTGCATTGGTTGCGTAGAGCAACTTCTTTCAGCGTCGTTCTGGGGATGTAGTGTTTCTGAAAAAGTGTTTTCTCTGTTTTCCAGTTTAGTCTTCTAAAGGACAGATGAGAGTCTGAAAGAGTCTGTGTGGGTTTGTGTGTCCGTCGGGTTTGCGTGGCAGGGGTTTGGTAATGGTGGGGCTACAGGGGTGGCTTCTGTGAGAAGCTGCTGGAAGCCTCTCCCCACGTCCGGCAGAGCCAATGCCAGCCGGCTCCAAGACGGACCCGCCGCTGGCCAAGGCCAAGGCCAAGCCATCCGGAGACCCTGGTAGTGCCTCTGTCGTAACGTATTTAGGAAGAGAGCAAAAAAACCTCTGGGCAGTAGCAGCAGAGAGAGGAGTGAGAACACGTGATCTGATACCTGTAAGAATTCAGTTTGTTTATTAGGTGCGAAATCTGTATAACATTAAATGACTCAGAGCTGTGGGAAGAAGTTACTTATGTGTGCATATATATCTTGTTTTCTTGAATTAACTCTAATTATTCTACTTGAGTGCTGTCTACTTATAACACATTAGAAAAATTAACATTTCAAAGTCACTTGCCATGTGAGCTAAAACAGGAGGTCGTCTGTTTACTTTTGGCAACAAATTACAAAAATAAAATAGTTCTTTTTAGACAACAACCAGGCAGGAATATTCAAATTACATTAGTGTTATAAGTTCTGTTATACATGTAGCTCTTATAAAACTATTTATAAGGTATTTAGCATCAGCACTGCAAAAAAGGTAACAGAAAGATGCTGTCATCACCGCATTTTCAGTTTCTCTGTGCTTGACGCCTTTGAAACAAAATGACCCTAAATGTTCTGGAGCAATATCCAATTAAATGAAGTATGAAATGATGTAACAGAATGCAATTGTTGGAGTCCAATGCGTGTGTGTGTCTATAATGCAGATGAAAAGAGCATTGTAAGAACATTTGAACACCTGTTTGAAGACTTAATGCTGATGGTGCGAGAAATCCTCAATATTTTGAAAAACAACAGATTATTTTCTAATCCTACAAAAATATCCCATACAAAGGAGGCCTGTATGATACCTTAGTATAACAAATACTTCTTTAAACTAAAATGCAGTGCTTTTTGTTTATGTGTGATCATAACTTTATGGTGTTTGTTTGGCAAGGAGTTATATTTTGCATTTGGTGGCGTCCCCGCCCATGACAGGGAGGTTGGATTAAATGATCTCTGAGGTCCCTTCCAGCCTAGGCCGTTCTAGGATTCTATGATTTAATGTACAGTTTTGTAAATCTGAAATGTTAATCAAGCTAAATTAGTTACATGGTAAATGGGAATAACTTTTGGTGAAAAGTTGGAGTCTGAGAGTTGAGAGAGAAGGTGTGCAGGAAAACAGCCCTTGCCCAATGATACTTGAAGATCTATTGAATTGATATAATGCACTGTTTATTATACAGAGAAGCAAGGAAATATTTAATGAGCAAGACTATTCTTCTTTTGCCAAACAGTCAGATGATGGATTCATATTCTGTGATGAGGAGGAATTTGCGTCGAGTTCTAGTGTTTGGCCTAGTGATATTCTGGGTTGCAGCAATAGCGCTCAGAAAAATGTTAGAACACCAGATGCTCAAGAGAACAAAATGAAAAATAATGTTATCGCGGGAAGAGAGAATCTGAGTAACCAGAAACCTGTGAGTTTGATATTGATCCACAAAAAAAGGGTGTACTGCAGCAGGCAGAAATTGATTAATAAAGAATTGATTGACAATAATATAATTATTGTCAGTCAGCGTGGGATTTACTTATTTTGTGAAATTGACTTTAAGCCTTTTTTACAAGATTATAGCCTTGGCTGATAAAGATGGTAGTGCTGACTTGTTACTTAAATAGCTTTTTAATTAAAAATAAGATTACTGTAATTGTACTAGTGCTTATTAAATAAATTAAAAATTGATAACTGATATATTAAAAAAAGATATGTCTCACTAGGTACAGTTCTGCAGAGACTGTCATTGTCTTTGAGCTATTTAACATTTGTCTGATAAAGTTAGACAACACAAAGATTTAAGAATATGCAAATAAAAATATAATTGATCAGAAATAGCCTGTTGATAAGTATTGCTTGGCAAGCAATTTAAGCAAGACCTATATTGTTCTTTACAGCTAAATATAAAGAAATCTTTTTAGAAACAAAACAAGTATAGGCTGTATTTAGAGAATTGTTCTAGGAAGGCAGTGACTTTGAAAGTGGTGCAGGAATCACAGGTGATAGCAAGTTTCCACTGTGTGTGAAGTACCTTAGGTTGGCCACAGGTATAGAAACAAGAATATGAAATTAGAAAAGAGATGTTCTAGCATTACAAGAGCATCTAGAACACTATGGTCAAATCTGGACTCAGTCTCCCTGTAACTGTTGATAAATAGAGAAGGGTCAGAGATGAGTATGAAAAAGATTAAATTATAATTTGATAAGTCTGAAGGGATTTAGCTTAGTAATGTGATATATAAAATTCTTTTTCCACTGTCATTTTTGCAACTCTCTTGGGCTGCAGGAGTGGAGAGTGCCTTCTTACTTTTGGGTCCAGAAAGTTAAAGTATTCTTCCTGGCTGATCTGGCTAGGTCTGAATTACTTCTGGTCAGGGCAAGGCTAGAATGCAAATCCCCTTCCCTGAAACTAGAGGTAAAGCAGTATAGCTGCTCCAGAGCAATAACCCCTTGTGTTGCCTAACCTTAAAAGTTGTTTAAACAAATCCATACTATAGCAATCAATGGTTAGAATTAAACTGAAGCGTGTCTCTGTCGGGGTTGCCTACCTTGTGACTAAGTCTCATCTAAATTGCAAGAACAACTCAGCACAAGCAAATCCAGAGACATGATGCATACCCACGCCTTCAATGCAGTTTTGGTTGGATTTAGCGTCTTTTTCAGCACTGAAAGACGTTTAGAGAATCCCTCCCTCCCTGACTGGTAAGTGGTGGTGGCCTTTAACATAGCCTAGATAGTCTTGTTTCTTGAGAGTTTTATAGATGGTAATCTGTTTCAGGTTGACTGAAAGTTCAGTATCAAAGCTCTTAGAAACAGGTAATTAGAAGTTTTGCAACAAAATTGGTCACTCAGTTGTTCTTTATTCTTAAATTTAAATTCAGGGCATCATTGATTCTTCCCAACAGTACGTGAGCTCAGACACCTAAGGTTTCTCAGGCTAGATTCGTTCTCTGGCTGCTTCTCCTGCAGGACAATGGGAAAGTTTAATTTTTAATTTTAAAAGAATGTAATTGCTTGGAGAAATGTTGAGTAATGAGAAATGTTATTTGTCTTTTTCTGACTACAATTCACAGCTTAATTTATGAGATGGAAAGCGGTTACAAGAATCTGTGTGTTAAAATCAAAAAATCATTTACTTGGAGACTAAAATGTTAATACCTATAATGATATGTTTCTGCTATAAGATTCACTTTGCAACAGTAAAGCATTTGGAACCCTGTTCAGTCCATTTCAAAAAGAAAGAATTATTCAGACTCTAGAGAAACATGCAGAAAATCCAGGAGTATTTTATTTAACATAAAAGGAAGCTAGAGTAAAACACAAGCTAAATATTTAGGAGTTATTCTTCTATCAGTTCATGCCACCACATGTCATTGCAAAGGTGTTGCTAGCAAAGACTTAATGTCTTGGGTAGATGCTGTCTTCAGTTTTCTGATATTTGATTTGCAAACCCTAATACTGGGACTGAACCACCATAAGGATACAAAGGCAGGTAAGAAAGGTGATTTTTGAAAGTACCAAGTAAATATTCAGCATCTTATTGTTCATCTGACTTGATCTGATCAGTGTCTTTAAGAACTTGATGGTTTTTAAGCCTCTGAGAGGTCATACAAAGCCTGCTATAGTCTCACTGACTTCCACTGATTAATTGGACTCTCATTAACGGTAATAGTCTTGCACTACTGAAAAATTACACCTAACTTATAAAAGAAATAATGAGCCTTGTCCCTGGCTGTCATTTTTATGATCACATGCCCTATAAAAAAATGAATGCATTTCACAATAAAAGTAGAGCCAGGTGCATGTGTGAAAATAGACACAATATCATGTTTTTATGATTCTTGAAAGGGTTAAAAATAGGTTTCGAATGAGTTCTAAACGGATCTAACTATTGAAAAAACAGATTTCTCTCAGGTCTCTGGTAATTTCTGCAACTTCTGTTCATGTGAGTTGCAAGTGATATTTTACCAGAATTAAGAAATTGACAGTATCGGTTGTTGATGGTATTTCAAATATAAAGAATTGCCTGCAGGGCATTGTTTTATTGCTTTTACATTCCTTCCTGCTGTGTTAAATCTAATGAGGCTTGTCTGTCCTTTAGGTGACCTACAAGCGGGATCTGTATGCAGCTGAATCCATTGTTAAGGGTATGTGTTCAACCTTGTGGCTATCAGTTTGCATATTCCTGAGTGTAATTAAGAAGTTTGCGTGCTATAGTTTCAAATGTCTTTTAGAAAAGTTTTATGACGAGTAAAATATGCTTAGGCAAGTTGTTTTAGTGTGTTCACTGGAATACTTATATTATGCATTATTTACCTTTATTTACCTCTGTAATAGAATAGAGAACCTTATAAAAATCTGTGTATATTACAGAGTCAAACAAAGATTAATTTTGAATGGGTTTCTAAGGAATAAACAATTTTTTTCTTTCACTTGCAGTTCAATTCTGAGTATGTTGCATCTTTCCGATCTAAGTAGTAGACTGAAAATTATATATGAACTCTTTAGGGCTCTTCACTCTTCTGCATATAGCAACTTGTTACCTAAATTGATACAGTACTTGTATGATATTGAGATATTCCATTAATTTATAAATACTTTGAACTGTTCTCTAACTTTTTCCTGTACTGGCAGCAGTGATTTCATGGCAGTTTAACATAAAGCCTAGATTGAGTTTTTATCTAGATACTCAATCTAAAAACAATGTAGAAAGGAAGAACTCTTAAATACTGTATAAGGAGCACACTGGTGGTTATTGTAAACTGACAGGCACTGATTCTTGCGTGACTTCTTGTTGAGAACCGAGGGATAAAAGCCCAGAAAATGATGACGAGAAAGGGTCTTCCCTTTGGATTAAAAGTATTTTTCCAAAGGAAGACAGAGCAAAATGCATGTCCTGTTAGGGCATGATGAATGAGTGGCTAGTTGTTCCCTTCGGTGGCTCATGTGTTGTTCCAAGACCCAGCGTTGGTCCAGCTTCTGGTTTGGGTAAGTGTCGGTAATATTCCCCACGTTGCTTCTCCAGACCTCCAGGAATGCAACAAGTTTGAAGTTTCTGTTTATGATGCTGGGCAGATAGTGCGTGTTGTGTGCATTGCTAGAGCTACCTGACTGAGTTTTTTTCAGGCATCTATCAAGGAGATGGGGTTGAGAAACCTTGGAAGTTGTGGTCTGGACAGGGAATGGGCTCTCATCTCCAAAGCTGGAGGCCTGGAACTTTTGAAAATCTTGGTTTGTGTAAGATTCTTAAGAGGTTCCACACTCGTCTAGCTTCCTAGCTTGGGATTTCCAAACATATTAACAAGAAGGTGTCTGGGAGTAGTTGGCGTGAATTTACAAAGGGGAAATGATGCCTGACCGACCTGATGGCCTTCTACAATGGAATGGCTTGGTGGATGAGAGGAGAGCAGTAGATACTGTTTTACCTGATTTCAGCGAGGCTTTTGTCACTTATTTCCCATGACATTCTCATAGACAGACTGAGGAAGTACAGATTAGAAGTGGACAGTGCGGTTGAACTGGCAGGCTCAAACAGGAAAATCCAGCTGGAGCCCAGTCACCAGGGCTCTACCCTGGGAGTCAGTGCTGGTTAAGATCTCCCCCAGTGATCTGGATGATAGAGCAGTGCACAAGCCCAGCAAGTCTGCAGGTGATGCAAAATTGGGAGGAGTATTTGATAGACCAGGTGATTGTGCTGCTATTCAGAAGGACCTTAACAGGCTAGAGAAACGGATGAACAGGAGCCTTATGAAATTCAGCGAGGGGAATGCTGACTGCTGCCCTCGGGAAACATCGCTACAGGCTGGGCGCTGACCGGCTGGAAAGCAGCTCTGCAGAAAAGGCCCTGAAGTGTGCTGGTGGACAACGAATTGAACACAACTGGCAGCGCACCCCTAGGGAGAGCGTTACTGGCAGGGCGAGGGAGGTGACGCTTGCCCTCTGCTGAGCACTGCTGAGGTCACATCTGGAGTGTTGAGGAGTAGTAGTAGTTGCCATTTAAAGTGATCTTCCCTTGGATAAAACAGTTCAGTTTGAATATAAATTTTAAAAGCTCAAATATTGTTGTTGCGATTGTCAGATGAGCCAAAATTACTCATAAGACAAAAAAAAAGTTAATAGAATGAGTCAGTATGCATAAGAGGGTTTTCGTGATATAGTATGCTATAAAACTAAGGAATGATTTTTTTCTTTTTGATGAATAGGAATTGGAACTAATACTTTACCTTGAATGACAGATCACTGGAAAAAAAGGAAGCTTCCATCTTTGAGAAGTGCAGAAGTAATTATAAAAAAAAAAATTAAGTCCTTTATTTCCAGGCTAAATGTAGATCTCATTATAGCGTTCTCACTGAATTCCTAATTCTAGTAAAGTGTATGCGTACTTTTACAGTACAGGCTTCTTTTACTTTTGAGTATTACTTGTAATTTTAAGTATTTTATATATATATAGCAGAGACTGTCAAAGAAAAATTCCCTCTGATGGTGATGTGAATAAGGAAATGCAGAAAGCTGATGCAGCTGCTTGGATGTGCTATTTTCATAGAATCATAGAATGGCCCAGGCTG